GCAATAAAAAAGAAGTGATTTCAGCTTGATTGAATGAAAAAGTGCGGTTGTAGTGTTCACTGCCCTATTGCACATAAGCGGGACTGAAACTGTTGCTGCTTTACTCTCCGCGTTCTGGCTGAGGCTGCTTCCCATCAGTGGCACTGAGAGTGAATGAACGCTTTAAATGTTGCAGATTGTGTCCTGTGTTATTAACAACCCGGCTCTCGCTGTCGTGCATCACAGATTATATGAACGGGAGGTGGGAACAGAATTTCCTTTTCCCCGGAGGGTCAGGAACACGTAACCTGTCAGCATCGTCCTCCCCCATGTCCACTCTGAGCTCAAACTACAGAGGGGCGGGCGGCTCCTATACCACGGAAACAACCACCACCTACTTGTCTGGGCCAGGTATGATGGGAGGGTGGGAGCAGCGCTGAGAAGAAGTAAAGTAAAACTTCATAACACCGCATGTCTTTATCCTGCATCTGTCTCTCCTTTCATGCAGGAGGCTCTCGCAGACAGGATTTGATCGGAGGTGTCCACACCTCTGACGTTATCCTGAGGAAGCGTTCGGAGAACCGAGGCTACATGGAAGAAAATATCCGTGATTCTATCGTCATGGGAGACCCGTCAAGCAAATTCCCAGATCTTGGTAAGTTTTCACCGAGGTTTGAATTGATTTAGAGAAATTGAGAACGAATTATTTCTGTTCTTCTGGCCACGAGAGACACTTTTCTATTTTTTTGGAGTGCAACAGTCAAGATGCCTCGACAGGTAAACTACGCAAGCGCATGAGCCCATTGGTTTGGACATCTGTTAGCAGGGTTGGGGCTGTTGGCTGCACAGCAGACTTTGCAGGAGCTAAGCTGACTATCGCTGTTTCTCTGTCTCTCCCCTCATTTGTATTCTACTTCTTTTTTCTTCCCTCCTTATGCGCTTTTCCTCCCCCTTCTGTTTTGCTATTCTTTACCTCCTGGTGTCCTGCTCCCCTCTACCCCTCCCTCCTTCCCCCTGCTCAATGCGCCATCAGGTGGGTTCGGCTACACTGGGACGCAGAGCAGCTCTCAGAGTCACTTCAGCTACAGCCTGTCTCAGGGCTCGAGGGCCAGGAATCAGTCTTCAGACGTCAATGAAGCCTTGTATAGTCTGGACAGGGTTCTCCATGGTAAGTCTGCAGCATACAAGCATGGAAGCACTGGTTTGCTGGGTGTGATGCATAAAGCACCCCTCTTCAGTCTTCGCTGCTTCTTTAAGCGCGTGGAACTTTGCCTCGCTCTGAGATCCGATGTTCTAACAACTAGAAATCCCTTTTGTTTTAGATTAACACAATATTTCATTCATGTAAACACATCACATCATTATTTCAAGGGGAACACACTCATAAAACAGACTTGATGCTAGCAATTGATATCACAAACTCAATCACCAGCCTCACCGACAAAGGGAATCAAGAGCTTAGATTTTCATACAAACTGACTCCTTGTTGCAATCAGAGGAGTCGCCTCCTGCTGGCCGTTAGAAAGAATTGTGCCTTGGCATCACTTTTTTCAGACCTAGCAGGGATGCTAATAGTCAAACACACTACAGTTTTGCTTTTTATTGAATTT